CCAGCCAGCAACACATTTGTGAAGGAGTTTTTTCTCTTTAAAAGAGCGCCCCCCCATGGCAGGAGAATAAAGTCAAGTTTTTCCTGTTCATCATTCAATGGCTCAAACGCACTGCTCTCTCGGCAAAAGCGAAAGGAGGAGCAACTTGCCATTTGGATATATCTTAGCTGTGTTTGTGCCCTCACTCATGGTCCAGACTTTTTTCAAATAGGACATGGAGTTTTTCTGCAGCGAGCGTTTTGGTAGAAACTGCGCCTCCCGTTCATTATAATGGTAAATGACCACAAACAAGTGCGCACACCATCTTTGGACCTTGAGTGTGACGCGATCGGGTGGGGGAGGCGGTCGCGCTGGGGGCGGCGTGACACGGCTCGGGCCCGCCAGTGCCCCAACGGGGCCCTAGTTATTATTTTTCCTCCCCTTTGAACTGGAAAATGGCCCACTTCCCACTGGCGAAAACTCATGAAATTTGGCAGGACGACCGGGCCTGGTGAAAAATTTGATATTCTGAAGTCGACAAAACAATAAAATGCAAAATGGCTCCATAGCGCCCCCTAAGGTGAAAATTCACACTATTCACTGTCACGACTGTACGCTTTGTCATATTGACACAAAAATTGACACACATATGTATCTCAATAAGATCTACAAAAAAGTCAGTGCGGCCGTATCTGTCAAAATTACGGTTAAAGGGTTATTTCGCATTTTTTGCCAATCCGCACACATTGGAATTTCGCTAACTCCTCCGAAGGCTTTCGTTCCACCTGCACCACATTTGCTCAGGCCAATCTACACCCCGTGGCCATTAAAAGTTATCAAAATCATGACGCTGCACCCCAAGGTTTAGGTTCTAGGGGGCGCCAAAGATAACACTAAAATCCACATATTTAAAAGTCTTATAACTTTTTATTTTTGTCCTCACTGGCCTCCAAGTTTTCTAGGATGATGCAATGTCCAGCCATCAACACATTTGTGAAGGAATTTTTACTCGCCAAAAGAGCGCCCCCCCATGGCAGGAGAAAAAAGTCCATTTTTTCTTGTCCCCTAAGGTGAAAATACACATTGTTGAGTGTCACGCCTATACGCTTTGTCAAAATGACACAAAAATTGACACACACATGTAACTCAATAAGATCTACGAAAAAGTCAATGCGCGCGTATCTGTCAAATGTACGGTTAAAGGGTTATTCCGCATTTTTTGCCGATCCGCACACATTGGAATGTGGCTAACTCCTCCTAAGGCTTTCGTTCCACCGGCACCACATTTGCTCAGGCCAATCTACACCCCATGGCCATTAAAAGTTATTCAAATCATGACGCTGCACCCCACGGTTTAGGTTCTAGGGGGCGCCAAAGACAACCCTAAAATCCACATATTTAAAAGTCTTATAACTTTTTATTTTTGTCCTCACTGGCCTCCAAGTTTTCTAGGATGATGCAATGTCCAGCCATCAACACATTTGTGAAGGAATTTTTACTCCCCAAAAGAGCGCCCCCCATGGCAGGAGAAAAAAGTCCATTTTTTCTTGTCCCCTAAGGTGAAAATACATATTGTTGAGATTCACGCCTATACGCTTTGTCATATTGACACAAAATTTGACAATCACGTGCCTTGCCTGGTATCATTTTTTTTCAGCACAACCTCACCTGTGCGAATTTACAGTTATTTTATCATGTTGACATACTGAATTTACACAATGGACCCAAATTCACACACAAAACATAAAATCCGAGTGGAAAAAAGTAACATTTTTACTGTGAAAACCACAAATATGTGTGATGAACTGTTTTTAAAACTTAAACTTCAAATAAAAATTGTAAACTTCAAAACATATGCAAATTTTTAACAAAGAACATAGTGATTTACCTCTATTTACATCAAAATGCAGGCAATGGCCCAGGCGTTCTTTGTAAAATTATTTACAAAACACTGTATAGTCTCACAAATGTCACTTTTTATTTATGCCACTACAAAAAAACATGATGTAAATGATGCATGATGTAAAACATGATGTAAAAAACTTGTGTAGATCCTCCTCTATGTCAGTCCATGTGTAATTTTTCCATAATTCTTTGTTTTTTGCAGCATTTTTGTTAGTGTAACTGCAGATTGTGCTGACAGTGTCTATGGCACAAAAAAAAAAAAATTAAAATGCCTCAACATGAACCCCTGGTGGTCTCTGAGGGTGAAACCTGCTAACTGCTGCAGCTCTGTCAGCTTCAGTCTCCCATGCAGAGCTCTGAGCGCATGTGTGGCTCTGCACCCTTAGCAGCGTTGCTAACTCCTCAGTAAGGAAAGCCTGCTTCATGTCAGAGTCTCTAAACTCCAGAAGAAGTCGATAAAAGTCCCTTTCTTTCTAAAAAAAAGTCATTAGGGGGTCTGAAAAGTCATTGAATCTAACAACAAAGTCGCTAGGTTTGCAACTACGTGTCCCAGACTGCATCCCTGCTGAGAGTCCCTCCCTCCCTTCTCATGTTGCAGGAAGAACGTAAGCGCCCTCCCCTTGTCGATCAGTCACCATATAATTTTGGATTGGTTGTTGTGGTGAAGTTTTCCACCAATAGGAGAGATGTTGTGGTGTGTTTTTTTTTTCTTTTGGCAAGCCTTTTCCGCCTGTAAGACCTGTCGCTAATGTCTGCATGCTATGTTTTCCTGTCTCATACAGCGCGATCGAGCGCCGAACGTGATCAAAATAAGCAGAAAAAAAGTATCGCGGACATAATTTATCATAACTCTGGTTTTATTTGGCCTATCAACACAATTTAAAAACTGGTATATAGGTTGAGGTCCTCACTTTTGAGATAAGTTGAAACGGAGAGTCAACGAGGCTCCGTCTTGCAGCTACATCCGGTTAAATATGTCATGTGACTTGAACGCACACACAGACACACACACACACACACACACACACACACACACACACTCAGAGTCTGGTTTTTAGCACCTGCAAAAACATGCTATTTACATATTTGACAAGAATGCAGAGGCTCCTTTTGCCCCTGAAAAAAATCAAATTTCAAACACAACTTGACTGGTCATTTCTCCAAAAGACAACCATGAAGCTCCATCCAAACCTGAAGCAGGCAGTTGGTGCATGTGTACAGTAACCTGAGGGGAGTGAGGTGAGTGCTTCTGAGGAGAACATGAGCAGTGAAGATTCACCTTAGAGCTAGAACAGAGACATGCACATGATTATACAGGGGCAGGGGCTCAAGTTTTTTCCAGTCATTTATACAATATGGAAATTAATGTGAAATTAAAACACAAAGTATTAATAGAAAGGTAATGACTGTCCTGTGTAGGTGACAGTGATATCCAATAGGCTAGGCACTCACGAGGCTGGCTGTGGCAAGTGTAAGTGAAAGCAACACGCACTGGCAGGAAGAACAGCAAACGCCGATGAAGGAAAAGGGTCTTTGCAGTGATGGGCGTTACCAGAGAGGGCGATGGCCAGAGGACACAAATGGGACGGGAAGGCAGCACGTTGGGGGGGGGGGGACGCGACACGGCTCGGGCCCGCCAGTACCCCAGCGGGGTCCTAGTTATTATTTTTCCTCCGCTTTAAACTGGAAAATGGCCCACTTCCCACTGGCGAAAACTCATGAAATTTGGCAGGACGACCGGGCCTGGTGAAAAATTCGATATTCTGAAGTCGCCCAAACAATAAAATGCAAAATGGCTCCATAGCGCCCCCTAAGGTGGAAATTCACACTATTGACTGTCACGTCTGTACGTTTTGTCATATTGACACAAAAATTGACACACATATGTATCTCAATAAGATCTACAAAAAAGTCAGTGCGGGCGTATCTGTCAAATGTACGGTTAAAGGGTTATTTCGCATTTTTTGCCGATCCGCACACATTGGAATTTCGCTAACTCCTCCGAAGGCTTTCGTTCCACCGGCACCACATTTGCTCAGGCCAGTCTACACCCCATGGCCATTAAAAGTTGTACAAATCATGACGCTGCACCCCACGGTTTAGGTTCTAGGGGGCGCCAAAGATAACCCAAAAATCCACATTCTTAAAAGTCTTATAACTTTTTATTTTTGTCCTCACTGCCCTCCAAGTTTTCTAGGATGATGCAATGTCCAGCCATCAACACATTTGTGAAGGAATTTTTACTCCCCAAAAGAGCGCCCCCCCATGGCAGGAGAAAAAAGTCAATTTTTTCTTGTCCCCTTACATGAAAATACACATTGTTGAGTGTCACGCCTGAACGCTTTGTCATATTGACACAAAAATTGACAATCATGTGTATCTCAATTAGATCTACGAAAAAGTCAAAGAGCGCGTATCTGTATAATGTACGGTTAAAGGGCTATTTCGCATTTTTTGCCGATTCGCACACATTGGAATGTGGCTATCTCCTCCTAAGGCTTTCGTCCCACTGATACCAAATTTGCTCAGGGCAATCTACACCCCATGCCCATTCAAAGTTGTAAAAATCATGACGCTGCACCCCACGGTTTACGTTCTAGGGGGCGCCAAAGATGACCCAAAAATCCACATTCTTAAAAGTCATTTTGGCCACTGCAGGAGTACAGAGTACTGCAGTTCTAGGGGGCGCCAAAGATGACCCAAAAATCCACATTCTTAAAAGTCTTTTTGGCCACTGCAGGAGTACAGAGTACTGCAGGATACACACACATATACACACACGCCACACACACACACACACACACACACACACACACACACACACACACACACACACACACACACACACACTCAGAGTCTGGTTTGTAGCACCTGCAAAAACATGCTATTTACATATTTGACAAGAATGCAGAGGCTCCTTTTGCCCCTGAAAAAAATCAAATTTCAAACACAACTTGACTGGTCATTTCTCCAAAAGACAACCATGAAGCTCCATCCTAACCTGAAGCAGGCAGTTGGTGCATGTGTACAGTAACCTGAGGGGAGTGAGGTGACTGCTTCTGAGGAGAACATGAGCAGTGAAGATTTACCTTAGAGCTAGAACAGAGACGTGCACATGATTATACAGGGGCAGGGGCTCAAGTTTTTTCCAGTCGTTTATACAATTTGGAAATTAATGTGAAATTAAAACACAAAGTATTAATAGAAAGGTAGTGACTGTCCTGTGTAGGTGACAGTGATATCCAATAGGCTAGGCACTCACGAGGCTGGCTGTGGCAAGTGTAAGTGAAAGCAACACGCACTGGCAGGAAGAACAGCAAACGCCGATGAAGGAAAAGGGTCTTTGCAGTGATGGGCGTTACCAAAGAGGGCGATGGCCAGAGGACACAAATGGGACGGGGAGGCAGCGCGTTGGGGGGGGGGACGCGACACAGCTCGGGCCCGCCAGTGCCCCAACGGGGTCCTAGTTAGGGCCCGAGCGTAGCTGCTAAGCAGCTGCGAGAGCCCTCTTGTTCCTGTAGTTTCCTTCTTTTGTTATTATTATTATTATTATTTTTCCTCCCCTTTGAACTGGAAAATGGCCCACTTCCCACTGGCGAAAACTCATGAAATTTGGCAGGACGACCGGGCCTGGTGAAAAATTTGATATTCCGAAGTCGCCCAAACAAGAAAATGCAAAATGGCTCCATAGCGCCCCCTAAGGTGAAAATTCACACTATTCACTGTCACGCCGGTACGCTTTGTCAAAATGACACAAAAATTGACACACACATGTATCTCAATAAGATCTACAAAAAAGTCAGTGCGGGCGTATCTGTCAAATGTACGGTTAAAGGGTTATTTCGCATTTTTTGCCGATCCGCACACATTGGAATTTCGCTAACTCCTCCGAAGGCTTTCGTTCCACCGGCACCACATTTGCTCAGGCCAATCTACACCCCATGGCCATTAAAAGTTATTCAAATCATGACGCTGCACCCCACGGTTTAGGTTCTAGGGGGCGCCAAAGATAACCCTAAGATCCACATATTTAAAAGTCTTATAACTTTTTATTTTTGCCCTCACTGGCCTCCAAGTTTTCTAGGATGATGCAATGTCCAGCCATCAACACATTTGTGAAGGAATTTTTACTCCCCAAAAGAGCGCCCCCCCATGGCAGGAGAAAAAAGTCAATTTTTTCTTGTCCCCTAAGGTGAAAATACACATTGTTGAGTGTAACACCTGTACGCTTTGGCAAAATGACACAAAAATTGATACACACATGTATCTCAATAAGATCTACGAAAAAGTCAATGCGCGCGTATCTGTCAAATGTACGGTTAAAGGGTTATTCCGCATTTTTTGCCGATCCGCACACATTGGAATTTCGCTAACTCCTCCGAAGGCTTTCGTTCCACCGGCACCACATTTGCTCAGGCCAATCTACACCCCATGGCCATTAAAAGTTATTCAAATCATGACGCTGCACCCCACGGTTTAGGTTCTAGGGGGAGCCAAAGATAACCATAAAATCCACATATTTAAAAGTCTTATAACTTTTTATTTTTGTCCCCACTGGCCTCCAAGTTTTCTAGGATGATGCAATGTCCAGCCATCAACACATTTGTGAAGGAATTTTTACTCGGCAAAAGAGCGCCCCCCCATGGCAGGAGAAAAAAGTCCATTTTTTCTTGTCCCCTAAGGTGAAAATACACATTGTTGAGTGCTACGCCTGTATGTTTTGTCGTATTGACACAAAATTTTACATACACGTGTATTTACATAAGATCTTCGAAAAAGTCAATGGCCACGTATCTGTAAAATGTACGGTTAAAGGGTTATTTCGCATTTTTTGCAGATTCGCACACATTGGAATTTCGCTAATTCCTCCAAAGGCTTTCGTTCCACCGGCACCACATTTGCTCAGGCCAATCTACACCCCATGGCCATTAAAAGTTATTCAAATCATGACGCTGCACCCCACGGTTTAGGTTCTAGGGGGCGCCAAATATAACCCTAAAATCCACATATTTAAAAGTCTTATAACTTTTTATTTTTGTCCCCACTGGCCTCCAAGTTTTCTAGGATGATGCAATGTCCAGCCATCAACACATTTGTGAAGGAATTTTTACTCGGCAAAAGAGCGCCCCCCATGGCAGGAGAAAAAAGTCAATTTTTTCTTGTCCACTAAGGTGAAAATACACATTGTTGAGTGCTACGCCTGTATGTTTTGTCGTATTGACACAAAATTTTACATACACGTGTATTTACATAAGATCTTCGAAAAAGTCAATGGCCACGTATCTGTAAAATGTACGGTTAAAGGGTTATTTCGCATTTTTTGCAGATTCGCACACATTGGAATTTCGCTAATTCCTCCGAAGGCTTTCGTTCCACCGGCACCACATTTGCTCAGGCCAATCTACACCCCATGGCCATTAAAAGTTATTCAAATCATGACGCTGCACCCCACGGTTTAGGTTCTAGGGGGCGCCAAATATAACCCTAAAATCCACATATTTAAAAGTCTTATAACTTTTTATTTTTGTCCTCACTGGCCTCCATGTTTTCTAGGATGATGCAATGTCCAGCCAGCAACACATTTGTGAAGGAGTTTTTTCTCTTTAAAAGAGCGCCCCCCCATGGCAGGAGAATAAAGTCAAGTTTTTCCTGTTCATCATTCAATGGCTCAAACGCACTGCTCTCTCGGCAAAAGCGAAAGGAGGAGCAACTTGCCATTTGGATATATCTTAGCTGTGTTTGTGCCCTCACTCATGGTCCAGACTTTTTTCAAATAGGACATGGAGTTTTTCTGCAGCGAGCGTTTTGGTAGAAACTGCGCCTCCCGTTCATTATAATGGTAAATGACCACAAACAAGTGCGCACACCATCTTTGGACCTTGAGTGTGACGCGATCGGGTGGGGGAGGCGGTCGCGCTGGGGGCGGCGTGACACGGCTCGGGCCCGCCAGTGCCCCAACGGGGCCCTAGTCTTTCTTTCTTTCTTCTTTTTCCTCCCCTTTGAACTGGAAAATGGCCCACTTCCCACTGGCGAAAACTCATGAAATTTGGCAGGACGACCGGGCCTGGTGAAAAATTCGATATTCTGAAGTCGCCCAAACAATAAAATGCAAAATGGCTCCATAGCGCCCCCTAAGGTGGAAATTCACACTATTGACTGTCACGCCTGTACGCTTTGTCATATTGACACAAAAATTGACACACATATGTATCTCAATAAGATCTACAAAAAAGTCAGTGCGGCCGTATCTGTCAAAATTACGGTTAAAGGGTTATTTCGCATTTTTTGCCGATCCGCACACATTGGAATTTCGCTAACTCCTCCGAAGGCTTTCGTTCCACCGGCACCACATTTGCTCAGGCCAATCTACACCCCATGGCCATTAAAAGTTATTCAAATCATGACGCTGCACCCCACGGTTTAGGTTCTAGGGGGCGCCAAATATAACACTAAAATCCACATATTTAAAAGTCTTATAACTTTTTATTTTTGTCCTCACTGGCCTCCAAGTTTTCTAGGATGATGCAATGTCCAGCCATCAACACATTTGTGAAGGAATTTTTACTCCCCAAAAGAGCGCCCCCCATGGCAGGAGAAAAAAGTCAATTTTTTCTTGTCCCCTAAGGTGAAAATACACATTGTTGAGTGTCACGCCTATACGCTTTGTCAAAATGACACAAAAATTGACACACACATGTAACTCAATAAGATCTACGAAAAAGTCAATGCGCGCGTATCTGTCAAATGTACGGTTAAAGGGTTATTCCGCATTTTTTGCCGATCCGCACACATTGGAATGTGGCTAACTCCTCCGAAGGCTTTAGTTCCACCGGCACCACATTTGCTCAGGCCAATCTACACCCCATGGCCATTAAAAGTTATTCAAATCATGACGCTGCACCCCACGGTTTACGTTCTAGGGGGCGCCAAAGATAACCCTAAAATCCACATATTTAAAAGTCTTATAACTTTTTATTTTTGCCCTCACTGGCCTCCAAGTTTTCTAGGATGATGCAATGTCCAGCCATCAACACATTTGTGAAGGAATTTTTACTCCCCAAAAGAGCGCCCCCCCATGGCAGGAGAAAAAAGTCCATTTTTTCTTGTCCCCTAAGGTGAAAATACACATTGTAGAGTGTCACGCCTGTACGCTTTGTCAAAATGACACAAAATTTGACATACACGTGTATTTCAATAAGATCTTCGAAAAAGTCAATAGCCACGTATATGTAAAATGTACAGTTAAAGGGTTATTTCACATTTTTTGCAGATCCGCACACATTGGAATTTGGCTAACTCCTCCTAAGGCTTTCGTCCCACTGACACCAAATTTGCTCAGGCCAATCTACACCCCATGGCCATTCAAAGTTGTAAAAATCATGACGCTGCACCCCACGGTTTACGTTCTAGGGGGCGCCAAAGATGACCCAAAAATCCACATTCTTAAAAGACTCCACACCCCCCCATCCCCCATCCCCCATGGCAGGAGAAACAGTCAAGTTTTTCCTTCCCATCACTCAATGGCTCAATCGCATCACTCTCCCGGCAACACCGTAACGAGGAGCAACTTGCCGTTTGGATATATCCTAGCTGTGTTTGTGCCCTCACTCATGGTCCAGACTTTTTTCAAATAGGACATGTAGTTTGTCTGCAGCGAGTGTTTTGGTAGAAACTGCGCCTCCCATTCATTATAATGGGAAATGACCACAGACAAGTGCGCACACCATCTTTGGACCTTGAGTGTGACGCGATCGGGAGGGGGAGGCGGTCGCGCTGGGGGCGGCGCAACGCGGCTCGGGCCCGACAGTGCCCCACCGGGGTCCTAGTTCATCTTGCCTCTCTTACCTCTCCACCTCCCTATCTACCACCCTCACTGCATCCCCTCCCCCACCATCTGCTAAACTTCCTGACCCACTCAACTACTACAATAACACTCTATCCTCCTGCCTGGACCAGCTCGCACCTCTCAGAACAGTTTCATTCAGACACTCTGCCCCCTGGTTTACCTCAGAACTGCACAAAATGAAATCACACAAACGCCAACTGGAACGTCTCTACCGCAAAACCGGCCTCACCGTCCATCTCCATGCCTACACCGGCCATCTCCACCTGTACAGAACAGCCCTCAACTCCGTCCGCTCTTCCTTTTACTCCAACCTCATTCACTCTGGCTCCAGTAACCAAAAGGCTCTTTTCTCCACAGTTAAAAAACTGCTACACCCCATAGACAGTACCTCCATCACCTTAACCCCGGAAAAGTGCAACTCATTTCTCTCCTCTTTTCAATCAAAAATCAACACAATCTACAAATCCGTTCCCCCGCCCTCCATTCCCTGCTCCTCCCCCCCTCCCCTCATCCCATCAGCACTCTCCCGCTTCTCACCTGTTTCTTCAACTGACGTGACCAACATCTTCTGCTCCATGTCATCATCCACCAGCATCCTGGATCCCATCCCATCCTCCCTCATCAAGCACTGCCTCCCCGTCATCTCTCCCATCATCACACAGATCATCAAATCCTCCCTCAACTCCGCCACTGTTCCCCCTTCACTCAAACTGGCCGCTGTCACCCCCATCCTCAAAAAACCTTGACTCCACCCTGACGACATCAACAACTTCCAGCCCATCTCCAACCTCCCTTTCCTGTCAAAAATCCTTGAACGTGTCATTGCATCACAAAATCAAAGCCCACCTCCACAATAACAACCTTTACAAACAGTTTCAATCAGGATTCCACATCCACCACAGCACTAAAACTGCCCTCATCAAAGTCACCAACGACCTCCCCATTTCTGCTAACTCCGGCCAACTCTCCATCCTCATCCTCCTTGACCTCTCCACTGCTTTCGACACCATCGACCACACCATCCTCCTGTCCCGCCTACACTCCCTCCTCAATATCACAGACACCGCTCTTAACTGGATCCACTCATATCTCACAGACCGGAATCCACATTAACAACTGCTCCTCCACAACTGTGTCCCCCAGGGCTCGGTGCTTGGTCCCCTCCTCTTCATTATCTACCTCCTCCCTCTTGGCCACATCCTCTGTCAACACAATCTTCACTTCCACTGCTACGCTGATGACATTCAATTATACATCTCTTCCACCTCCATCACCCCCCAGACCCAACGCTCCCTCTCAAACTGCCTCTCTGATATCAAACACTGGATGGACAGCAACCTTCTGAAACTCAACTACGACAAAACAGATCTCCTCATCATCGGCCCAAACTCCCTCACCTCCATAGTCACAGACTTTCATCTCTGAATTGACAACTCCACCCTCTCCCCCTCCTCCCACTGTCGCAACCTTGGTATTCTCTTGGACAGCAAGCTCTCCTTCACAAATCACCAAAACAGCCTTCTACCACCTCAAAAACATTACCCGCCTCTGCCCCTCCCTCTCTTACCCTACAGCTAAAACCCTCATACATGCATTCATTTCATCATGTCTAGACTATTGTAACAGTCTCCTCCATGGCACTACCTCCACTCTCCTCAATAAACTTCAGCTCATCCAGAACTCTGCCGCCTGCCTCCTCTGCCATACACGCTCCCACCAACACATCACCCCCGTCCGCCAGAACCTTCACTGGCTCCCCATCCCCCATCGCATTCAGTACAAAATCCTCCTTCTCACCCACAAAGCACTCCACAACCAGGCCCCCTCCTACCTACAAGATCTTCTCCACCCCTATCCCCCCCCCGCACCCTCTGCTCCGCCAATGCCAACCTCCAATTCATGTATATTTTATTGTATATTGATGTGTGTGTGTTTTATTGTTCTTGCTTTTACTCATGTACAGCGTCTTTGCGTTCTTGAAAAGCGCTTTACAAATAAAATGTATTATTTTTATTATTATTAACACCTGAGAAACACAATTAAATTTATCATCATAATAATCATAATGCATTGTCATCATGGGGTTTGCATTTTCATCATTGAAATAAAGTCACTCCAGTGAAACATTTGGGCTGATAAAATGTCTGATCTCAAAGTCTATTCAACATAAATGACACAGAAGATATATACTTAACTTTCAGATCATTACTGATCATTGTTTAGCCCCACAAATAAGAACTGTATGGGTTTTAAACTGTACATTTCCGTGGATCACTCTATTATAAGCAGTTTCTGCAAGGTGCATACTTCTGTGCGGGTGTGCGCTTCTTGGCACAACAGCGGCACAAACAAAGCACAAATAAACATTGCCATTTCAGGTCCATTTGAGGCAAATAGGGGGCTGGGTGACATCATCGCCGAAAATAAAAATGTGTAATAACTTTAAAATCGAAGCGGCACAGATGAAAATTTTAGCGACACAAACCAGCACGAACAAGGCACCAACGATCAGCACCATTTCGGGTCCATTTGGAGCAAATGTGGAGCTGGGTGACGTCATCGCTAAAAAGTTAAGTGTAAGTTAAGTGTGGATGATGTAATAAGTTAATAACCGTAGGAGCACAAACTAAATTTTTAACGGCACAAACCAGCACAAATGAAGCACTAACGATTGGCACCATTTCAGGGCCATTCTGAAAAATTCGGGGGCTGGATGACCTCGCGGTGACCTGTAAAACAATATTAAATAACTTAAAAACCATCGCAGCTCAAACGATAATTTAAACGGCACAAATCAGCACAAATGAAGCAGACTATTTTACCGAAGTTTTGCGTGGGGTGGGGGGCCAGCTTCATGCAAGTGATTTGGAGCCAGTCACAATAAGGATCCATGCCATATCTGTTATTGAAAAACTCCTTGTAACACTGCATTTTCCTGAGTCTGTATCATTCCAGCGCACCATTGCAGTTATTACATCTCCCAGAGTAGTTTTTCTGGTGTGCTGTCCAAATGGTTGAATGCTATGTCACGCAGGATGGGCAAGTACATCCAGTTCCTATGCACTCGGAACACAGTAAATGAGACAAAACATGGCAGGTCTTGGGGAGTGCTCGTGAGCTCGAGGGCTAAAAGCTTGTGATTTAATTCAGTTTTCTAGTAAGTGATGGTTTTGATAAATAATTAGGCAAAACACGGAACAGTTGAAAAAATGTATCTGTTTGGTTTATTGATTTTAAATTGTTTGAATGTCTTTTTTCATTTCTAATATATTTTCTTGCATCTGTAAAGCACTTTGAATTGCCTTGTGTATCAATGGTGCTATACAAACAAACTTGCCTTGCCTTTTAGGCAGTTGCTGGCTTCCCCAAAATGATAGGTGCAACTCCATGGCTTCAAACTTTATTTTTTGTCCACAACCACTCTGCTCTCTATGGTGACAGCCAATAGAATACGCAAAATCCTCGTTTGAAGAGGGCAGTCCGCACCACTTTTGCACCTGTTATCAATTGCGCATGCAATGATAGTAGATCACCCACAACATGCCAACTAAGAGTACATGCAATTTTATAGTTTACACATGCAATTTAGCCCCTCTTATTTGGGATCTTAATAGATCAGGCCTAGGCTTTCCACGGTTTGAGATTTTGCAGTACGGTACGGTGATGGTGACAGTACCATACACCTCGGTATTTCATGGTAACGATATATAAAAAAAAAATACTTTACTAGGGGCTATGAAATGACAACCAAAACACACAAGGATCATCCTCAAAAGAAAAAATGTGTGTCTGTCTGTGTGGTGTGTCTTGTCTAACCGGTGAAGGAGGGGGCTGCGGGCCAACTGGGCCCGGGCTCGAGCATCTTATCTTTGCCTCTGGTTCGGAGGAGTCTGCCATCATCATGCCATGCTTTGTGCACGCTTCCTGGAATGGATCATGTGGCTATGGCGGGGCGTCGCCTTAGGTGTGTTTGATAGGTGTGTTTTTTGATACCAAAACTACCTGGGGGGGGGGGGTGCTTTGATGTACGGGGGGCAGCGCATCATCATCATGGGCATGGCAGCCTGCCCAGAACTAATGGAATATACAATTGTGTTTTTTCCAGCACTTCGCAGCATCACACAGGTAGGAAATGGTTCAATATTTTGCTGCTGCTGTCTTTCTATAGTCCAGACTGACCACTAATGTTAATGTGAACGTGAAGTGATATCTTTATTATGGCAAGTCGCGCTTGTGTTGAGGCGTAACGTGCGCTTTACACGCAGACGGTGTTACATAATATTGGAATTACGTCACCGTGAGCTCAACAATCTCACGGTGTTGCCACCGTGACTTTATTTCACCGTGATGACGGTGTATACGGTATACCACGGAAAGCCTAATCAGGCCCTAAGTTATTTAAGGTATAGTGATTGAGTATACGTTGATATAAAAAGGAAATTCATAAATATACACACAGGGAGGTTGCAAGCATTATTAGCATTGCTTAGCTTCCATTCCTGCCTAACCTGTAAATTTTGATAATAGTGAAATTTAAAACACAGATAATATTAGAAAGTCAACCCTTTGCCTAGTCATAAATAACACTTATCTTCACTATACCTTTCGAATTTATTTATCCTAACCTAGAAGAGGATATGACGTCATGTGAATTTCCTGTATAGCTTTCAGATTTTCAGTCTTCACCTCTGCATTCAGCCCTGCTTTATTAAACAATTTGGTCTTTTTTTCTTACTCTGCTGTCCTTAAAAAGAAGTCAGTGCTTATTTCTGGTTGTTAGGAAAGGTGCTGACCTAGTTTCAGGGCTAATTCTGGCAATTGTAAGCTGGCCTATCCATAAAGTGTGCTGACATATTAAAGATTTATTACAACTGATAACTGCTATGAAATGATGATGTAAGGGGAAAGCAATAAGCTCACATCCCCATCATCCTTAGTTGGGTTACCATCCTTATTCTAATTCTTAGTCTGCATGTGGCACAGAACAAATGTAAATCTTTGATGATAAAAAATGTGATATGTCATGGTGTATATACACAGTTAACAATAGAGAGAGCATATACATTTGCAAGCAGGCGCTCCACCACTGAGCCAGCTATTGTGTCATATCATGTGTGTAGGGACTGCATGTGTGGGGGTGGGGGATTTGTGACGACAGCCATCTGGTGTGCTGACAAACCAGCACATGTGACAATATTATGACAACGAAATCAGTGTTACCAACAGCTCTACAAGTAAAAAAGATATGAGTGCTTTGACCAGCAAATCCAGCATGAATTCAGTAAGGACAGTTCTGCACACAAAGACAGAGCTTTATGGGGCAACAATGA